ATATATATATAATATGACTACGTCTATAAAAAATGACATAAACATAGATAAAATAAAAAGTAATCTTGAACTTGCTTAGATCATACAATGACACCGTGATATATCGATGTATGCGTAGCGGGTTGGCTTTCGCTATACGGCTGCTTCAGAACCGGTACGCCAGCTTATTAACATTAAAGTAATGGCAGTTGGAACTTTACATTTTTGATTACTAATTTGTCGTATACTATAACCTGAATAGTTGTTGCTGTTAACTGTCCTATATTACTGCGAATTTTATGTAACAACGTCGATGGCTATAGTAAACGATTTGTAATCAATCTTGCATGTAGTTGATTTTTACAACAAAAATGATAGTCTGTAGTGGTTTGTGATTCTGCTAAATGTCTCCAGGTGACCAGATGAAAACAGTCTGTTATTTTTTATGTAGTTACTCGTAAATGCCATTTCTACGTTATAACAGCAATAACGTACACTGTGCTGTTGGACATCATGGGAGGATAGAAAAGGATGGTGATTAATAAAACGTGCCGTATGATAGTGGAAGTCAATGCTAAACAAACGGAAGAAGAGGAAAAGTATCGTTTTTCAGAAATCACCTATGTCAGAACAACACGCGCATCACCCCGCCACTTAAAATTTTTTCAGGTGTAATGTACTATAACGTTTAAACAACTTTCTCTATTTACGTAAGTTGAATAATACATGTTGACGGGACCTAATGTATTAATCCGTATGTTCTTAATTTAGAAGCAAGGAAATATGAGGGTTCAACCTGCTCATCCTACCAAATACCGTTCAAGTTTAGAACAGGTGTGGCTCTTCCTTCTTTCAACTATGTCTTTCAAACTAATGTATTTATAAAGAAATCTTGATCCTTCGTATAATATTTACTAAGAGACGTACTTTAGTATAATAGTGCAGAATAAACTATTGGTTCAATTAATGTTTCAGTTATATCCATCCACAGCTGCTAAATCCGCATACTGCTGTCTCGTTCTCAAAAGCCTACAATATTGTGCTGAAAAAAGTTTGTGAATTCATTGACATTGCGAAGACATTAATCCATAATTTCCGATTTCTGAATTCATGCGTAGCTTTTGGACAAACCGATGCATGCCTTTAAAGGTAATCTTTATTGCGCAATATGACTAAGTTTGAACGTATGATAAAGACTGCGTTTTCATATTTCTTAATGAGTCATTATGACTGAACATTTTCCTCATTGAATAGCAAACTTATTTATCTTGCTTGATTATCATTATAAATGACAAGAATAACGTGCATGTGCTGTTGACCCCGTGGGGAGTCTCCAACCTGCATAACATTATTAATAGCTGGTTTACCTGGAGTAGATGAATTACATGCTTCCGCACGCGAAAACAAATATATGTTATATACTAGACGAGTACCCTGCGTTAGTGGGCCAAGCTTGCAAAAGTCTAAGCAACACTAAAGTCTCACTGCAGTGCGGGCCGTTAGAGATTCATTAGAGAACGATGATAAGTTCAGAGAAGGTGCTACGGAATTGTTCGCGCAACCTAAAGCGAAATCGTACCCCATGAAAGCATCCATCCCAGATTTTGGCTGGCGTCTTTATAATCGATAGATAACTCCTTAACTGTTGTAAGCGCCATTCTAACTTGTGACTATCAATGATATCCGGCTCCATCCCACTGAAGCGTGTCGCTCAGTTGTCACCAAACAGAAATCATAGCTTTTGCGTTTGTCAATGTATTTGAGTTTCGGTTGTAAGGGAAGATGGTATTCGTAGCAAACGCGTCGATAAGTGTTAGCAATAATTTATTATGACTTTTTACAACTAGTTAATGCTTCATGTGTTGTGTTTTTGTAACAGATTGAACTTTAGTTATATGAATTGATGTCGAAGATCTGAGTAGATGAGAGCAAAGAACAGCTTTTTTCGTTAATATTTCTTAATAATAAAATCAAGGAATATTTTTCATTTGTTGTATTAGTTTCCACCATTTAAATTAGATATCCCCAATCAAAAGGCTTGTTAAGCTTTTTGCAAACTTCCCCTCTAACACCCTAATTATTTTGCTGTACACATCCCACTATGTCTTTGGATCTATCAGTAGATTATCAAAGTCATATTGATGAAGCTTGATGTCAGCTAACTGCATTGGTAACCACTTCTGCTGATATCTGGTAAATTCACGAGTTTTGTATCATTTGTTCTTTATTTATAGTTGTTTTGTGTATTACGGTTAAACTAGTTTCAAGTAAAGGTAAGTAGAAAAAAAAGAAACCGTTCTCAAATATGTCGTGAATTGAAGTAGGTTCTTGTGATGCTAGCAGGACATTGTTTCTGCGATGATCGTTGTTCGAATGCGGATTGGACTATTGGTGTTGAAAGCTGAAACCTTTTAATACGTACTTTTTAGTAAACGGGCTATCAGGGTAGCGGCCATATTCGAACGTTTGGCGTGGATGAACATCACGTATGTTTTTGATACTAACTCTGATTGATTGCAGTGCAGCGCTGAATAGCGCGCTAACAACGCAAACAAATAACGCATCTTATGTTTTTGATTTTGAGTTCGTCATTGTCTCCTGATGGTAGTTTATTTCTAGGCGTCACACGCATGTCTGTTTCATATGCCATTTATAATTACTATTATTACAATGACGATTATTATTACTGGATATGTTTACCTTTAGGCAAAAATATGCTCAGACGCTGAGGGCTATGCCACAGTAATTTAGCCCCTATGTTGCCTATTGTGCTGTTTGTTTAGTTATCATTGAAGCGCAAGTTAGCGAACGCTAGCACTTCCTGTGCAAAGTGGTATTATAGCAGTTCAAGTGCGAGTCTCGTGCATCACGATAACATTTTATACTCCTGCCATTGACTGATGAGCCGATTTATTCAAATGTAGAATGTCAATAGCTCTATACGCATTGAACAGTTTCACGCTTAACGTACACGCTATACGCGTCATTTCTTCTATTGTTATGGTCGCCACTTTAAAAAACGCGGCGCCTGCAAATAGAGATGTTTTTAACTGGATTAAACTGGGAATAATCAGAGGAATGAATGCAGGAGGGACAAAATCGTTCAAGCATATTTATGCGTGTGACAGTAAGGGGATAGGTCACTGCATTATCATCACCATTATGATGATACTGACGCAACAAATCCTGAGTTATTATCGATTTATTTAAGCATCGCAGAATTGTCTACCTAACTGGCATTCTAGGCATTTTTGAAAATCACTCTCACCCACTTCATATTATATGTTTACGTTCATTCTATTCTCGTAATGTGTTCGGCTCGAAGCCAGCCAAACCACGCAGTTGACACCATGGAAAGTCTGAAAACAACGAACAAAATTTCAGCGATTACTAACTGAGTAGCGATTTCATTATAATCATTGTGTCGACCGATAGCATAACCAGTCATTGTGTACAGAGGCATAGCATTACGTGATACTTTTACACTGACGCCTCGACCATAAGTGGTTATAGTTGATACAATTCCTATGAAAGCAACTCTTCAATTTGTTCGATTTCTACAATAATTCTGCGAACGTGAGAAATCGTTATGCAGAATGCTGCATTTCATCGTTGAGCAATTTATACGATGTGAAACTTATACATATATATAGATTAGCCTCCACATGAAAATTTTTACTCTGAAATAACTCTCTGGTTAGTTGTTCTGTATGTATGTATATATGTGTATATCTAGATGTATATATATACATAGTATTGTATGCTGAAGTATGATTCATGTTTTGCATCTAACTGAAGGTTCTAAAAATCTAAAAATTACCATTTCACCTTTTGTAGTACATACCTACGTAATTTTTGTAATATTAATATTCGCTTTTTCATAATGGCTTCATATGCGAAAACGACAATTTTGGCATTATATAAAACAAACAAAGCAACATGCTGTGTAGAACCCCTTTTTTATGCCATCGTTCTCTGACCTTATTTTTGCCACAAAATTCAAAAATCGAAATGCTAAATTTCTTGCGGCGACCCGAGCCGTATTTTAAAAATTTTCTAAATTGTAAGTGACATTAATTTATTATATAAACTTATAATCTTCTGATAGCCAAGCGTAATCGGTGTTAAATGAATAACTAAGGCGGGCGATTAATTTGACAACGATATCTATAGGTGTTCGCAATTATTCCTGGCGATAGATAATATATTCCTAAGTGCCATAACGCATTCGAGCGAAGTGTTACGTCACGATAAGGATCATATACTTTGTAATGTTACCAGATTCTCGCTATTGTTTGCAACTGTGTCAGACCAAAAAATAGGCGGAAAACAATGGATGTAAGCGTCAAAGTTTATAGTGAGTTCTAATTGTAATTCCCGAAAATACGACAG